ATATTGATTTTAGCGCAAGCAAGTGACACATCTAATGTTTCAGTTTTTTAAAAAATTGTAAATATCCTTTGTCAAAAATCATCTTGTTTCCTAATTCTGAGACCGTTTATAATGATTACTAATAATGACTAAGAGTTTAAGATATAACACATTAATCACAAAATGATAAATGTTGCAATGATGAGATAATAAAAATATTTATAAACAACAGCGACAAAAAGGTTCAGTAATGTTTAATGAACTTTAAATACTTGAAAAAAAAATTATTTTATGACTATTATACTTTTAAAAGAAAATTATATATTATTAAATTAAGAATAATATTATGACCACAACTTTTTTTTTCAAAATTTTATTTTTACTAAGCCAGAACCTAAAATTCAACTTACATAAAGAAAAAAGGTATATAATTATATTCACATTCCTCATGCTAAAATATTCATTATTTATATGTGCAAGGATATTGAATTACTTAATAACTCACTAAAAAGAGAAAAAAAAAGTACATAATCCATTAACTGCAATAATGTCATAATTATTGATTTTATACTCAATGTCACAGAGAGAAATGCAATGATATGTATTTTGAACTTGTGTGATGTTCTTATTTTGTATTATAGCATGACTGAAATTTTATTTTTATAAGATTAGAAACAGTTTTCATAAAATAAAACAAGTAAATTTGAGGAAAGAATATAAAGTATGGCATTTAATTGTGAAGGAAATACCCAATGGCAGAACTTCAATTGATTGAAATCAAAATAAAATTTAAAACTTTACATGCATTTCCTGAAAAATCATGAATTTTGAGTTATGATGTTTCAGGCAACTGAACAATATACTCTCTAATATCCAAAAATAATAAAAATCTAAATAACTCATAAAGTAAACTTTATCACCAATGAAGTAAAAATGAAATTAGTTAAAAACTAACTATAAATGTATAGGTTATAATTTGGAAAAATTGCACACCACATAGCCTTATGTCTCCAATATAAATGCAAAGAAAACAAAACTGTCAATGTTTCGCCAATTCAGGCATCATAAGGACAAAAAGAACAGCTGATCCAACATCACTCCATGACATCCAAACCCAAATTGTAAAGAATATGCATTTGATTGTCATGGAGTGATGTTCGATTAGTTGTTATTTTTCTGTCCCGATGATGTCTGAATCAGCGAAACGTTGACAGGTTTTGTTTTATTTTCCTGCACTTTGGAGACATAAAGCTGAGTGGTTTGAAATTTTTCCAAATTATAACCTAACATATATGATCTATCTCTTGATTAGTTTGTTACTAATTTATATTAATATAGATGTGTAGATTAAAACATAAGAAAGAACAGAAATACTGCACATCCAGAATAAAAGAGAAGCAACAAAGAGAAAAAAAATATTGCATAATTTGTTAACAAATTTCAATTAAAAAACGTGATACATATATTTAGCCTTATATTTTATGGTAGCTTCTAGTGGAGCCAGATATTCATCTAAAAAAATTTCAAATGATGGGAATAACAATGACAATAGATGTAATAAATGAGACATTGGTTGGGAGTGCGAATCAGAAAGGAAGCACACAGTTTGGCATATTTCAGCATAAGATGTAGGCTTTTATCTAGGCTAAGCGGCAAAAGATGATGCAACCATAATAAGAGAAACAATTTCATTTTGCCCTATTGAAGGGCTACCGCTTAGAGCAAAATGTCAAGTATTAAAGCAGTATTATATGCACTGTATGTTTCATTTCTTGACTGTACACTTTCCTAGTTAGAGAAAAATTGTGATGAAGATTCTTATTATTGCTCCTTTCATTCTGAATATGTAATAGCATGCTTTTATTTCAATCGTTAGAAGAAAGAAGGAGAAATTGAAAGATAATTCATCAGTAACCTATTAATGGAAAATAAGTTGATAAATTTAATCCAACTGTAAATATGGTTAAATCAACAGAAAAAAATAGACAGTATTTTAGCATGAAAATAATATTTGTTTTTGTTTTGAGAGTATAATCACCAACATGGAGTAAACTAAACATGAAAAATTTGTATGTTATATAATTTCCTAATTATTTTTCACAAAATGTGTTTGTTTTCTTCATTCATTCATGTTTTCTATGAATTAATTCTACCAAACCTATTGGCCAAGAGTTTCTTAATCTAGTTTAAAAATTGGCACAAACTCATCTGTTTTTTTTTGTTTTTTTTATAATATAGAGCCCAATCTTATGTTTATGGTTTTTACTATATTTTTTTAAAAAATGCTTTGACTATTTTTTGAAAGTAATCGCCTCAATTATCAATATTATTTTCTGTAATCTTTATTAGGATTTGTTGCTAAATAAAAACAAAAATGCTTGATGAAATTTAAATATTATTGCCAGATATTCATTTATTGTAATTTATAAGCAAAACACAAAACTTAACAGTTTTCAGATAAAAAATATACAACCTCCTCTCAACTTAAATGCAATAACATAATTATGAAAACTGACTAGTTGCAAAAGATTATTTAGAAACTTGAAATTTTTCCAACCCATTTTTACTTTCACAAGCAAAAGTAAAGCAATCGTGAAAAAGGTTGAAGCCGAGTTTTATAAATATAACTACCTGTTTGCTTTTTTTTTTACTTTAAGCACACAAGTGAATTTTTAAGTGTTTTTGCATTTGGATTAAAATATCTTAGGAACTAAAAATCGGACCTGCATACTGTAAGTGAGGAAACTGTTCAGAATTTTATCTTCTTTGTAATGAGCTATTACTAAAATTTTTATCTTAACGTGACACCATGTTAAAGAAGCAAAAAGCCAATGAGTTTGGTTGAACATATCGATTAAAATATCTCATAAATAAGAAATCGGACCTGCATAATTTAAGTGAGGTATATGTTCAGAATTTAATCCTCTTTGTAATGAGCTGTTATTCAAAATTGTATCTCAACGCGAAACCATGTTAAAGAAGCGAAAAGGGAAAAATAGTGTCGAAAACCAACTGTTAACGAGTTTTATTGAACATATGGTCTAAAATATCCCATAAACTAAAAGTCATACTTGAAAAATATAGCGTTACTTGTGTGCTTAAAGTAGAAATGAGCCAAAATATCAAATCGATATTTTACAACTATATCGTACAAGGAACTTCTAATCCCAATTTTATTAAATAATGTTTTGAGCCATTAACAGAACCTTTTAAAAAAGTAAAAATTTAAAAATGATAAAGAAATAAAGATACTTTTTAAACAGATAAGAACAAAGGTAAAGTAATGACTAGAACCTGGTGGCTAGCCAAGATAGGAAAATTAGCCTCATTTCAGGAATAACAAAATTAATTAATTAATTCAATAGGTACCTAGACTATTAGTTGATAAGTGAACACACATTTAATTTTTTTGTTTTTGTAGTTTCCTATTAAACCAGCAAGTGATGTGGTTAAACATACTGTAGGAATAAGGTATCAATAAGGTATTTCGACCTATCATTACATTGATTTATTCAGTATATGGTGAGAAATAAAATGTCACATATCATCTAGAGAAACATATAATTCCCTTATGCACTAACCGGTCATAATTGTAGCAGCAAAAGATTGTATAGTAGTAAAACAAGGTAAAATATTTGCTTGTTTTAACAAAAATTAAATTTAATCATAGTCATTTAATATTAAAAGCTTTTAATAGTTGTTTATTATTCATAGCTATCTTTAATTTATTTTTTTAGCTTGTATCTATATGTCATATGCTCTGTGGTTACATATCGGATCACAGTATGTTTACGTTATGTGGTTAAAGTTATTAACTGGAGGGTTAATAAAAGTATTAAAACCGACAAAAATAAGTGTCATTTTTGTAATTATAAATTATTACATGAATTTTACAGGTGCCACCATTGTTCTAATAAATTTAACTCAAGTAATGATTATAGAATTAAAATGTATTATTGTGCGCCCACAAGCCTTCAAATTCAATAAAATATAATTTTTTTTTTAAAGCCTACGGCTGACAGATGTGGTAGGATTTTAGCATTTAATTCAAACTAACTTAATAAATACTAAATATGAGAATGTTAAGACATTGGCACATAGATAAAATATAGCACTAAGAGAATACAGTAACAGATCCTTGGAAATGGGTACAGTTTTTAATTATTAACTAGATATAGCTAAAATAATTGCATATCTGATACATATTAAGCCATGCCGTATGTTAAACCAAGTTATAGGACTAATAAAACATGAATTTTACAGGTTCATAGGAAAATAATTTATGAATAGATATTATAAAAATGAAATAAACAAATATTCTATAACAAGTTTATCTTTTTTAATCAACCAAGCAAGAGAATTTTGAAACTGATTTATTTTGTTGAGAAATTTTGTCATTATTTAAATCATAATTTCTTAAATCCTAAACAGGCTATAAAAAATAACTCTTTTAAAAAAAAAGAGTAAGATCATACTTCTCATTATAAAATAAATCTTTTTTTTTTTTAACGAATTTCATGGTTGAATTTATCATTACCATTAATATTTTTTAAATCTTAAATATAAAGATAATTAAAACATCGCTATTTCTTTAGTCATAGTTTAATAAAATTTTATCACAAGAACAAATTCAATATTTAATTTGTAAATTTCTAATTTCTAAAATTAAAACTAGATATAAAAAAAATTCATTTTCTCACATATAAAATATACTCCAGTATAATACAATATAAAACAAACATAACATAATTATTATCTATAAACTTTATAAAAAATATTCCCTTATTCCTAGTATTACTTTAACTCTCAACTTCAACCACAAAGGGAAATATATGGTAAAAATTGCTACTAATTGGATAGATAAAATATGTTAAAAAAACCATAACGTGATTTTTTTTTTCATTAACTAATGAATATAATGGTACCGATAACTTCATTATATATAATTATAAAATATTTAAGGAATTTAGCAAATAGCACAGCACTCCAACAAACACTATATGCGAAGCAAGGCAACTCACGGTTTTAAGAAGTTATTATCTTCATCCCTGTTATCTGGAGGAGGAGGAGCAAACATCCTTGGCTGACCTACGTCTGGTTCTCCTTGCCCTCCATTGTTCATTGGAGGACCGCCGAGCTGAGCATCTATTGAACAATATAATCACTTGTTAAAAACATAAAAATTAATTTTAAGAGCAAATGAAGAAAACTTTAAAAAATTGATTAGACCACAAAAATCAATTTAAAATTAAGTACCGCTTTCCCCTTTTCTTCCATGGAATTTAAAGGGAATTGGGATGTTATTTGGACATTATTTAATACTTTTTACACATTCCATGTTGCAAATTAGTATAAATAAATCACTTCAACAGCCACTTGTTGAAAGTGTCCTTCAAGGCAGATACACCAAGGTCCTCTCATATTCTCTCGTCCCTGACTTAATCTCTCCTTGTCTTACCAGTCTTTCTTTGGAGGTAGATCATTTCAGAGAGGCTGTCACTTGTATAAAGAAGATTAGGTACAGAGATGGCCTATGAAATGTGTAGAAAAATAAATTTCCAATTCAGAATATTAATTTAAAGACCTATGTGACAAAACACAGAAGAAACTGCGAGGAATACTGTAAAATTTTCATTCAATTTTTCTCTATGTGAAAAATTGTTTCTCAATACCATTGAGTTGACCAAACTCATAGCACTAGGCTATAGTCAGAGCGTCCCACTCTTAGCCTCAGTGCTAATGTCAGCTATAGTGACTATACTGCTTTTCTTTCTATTTGCTTATGTCGAGTATAATCTAGTATAATTGTGAAACAACCTTGTGTTCAACTGCTCAGTTCTTTCCATTTAGTTTAATTTAGTTATTATAATCAGTAATTATATCAAAATAGAATAAGTTTAGTTAGTGATGTGACCGTATAGATTAATTATTTTAGTTATTTTTTTAGCTAGAAGTTAGTCTTTTTTTTTCCTTATTTTTTTCAAAATACAGAAAAAGTGGTGCAGAAGCTGCTGAATTCATTAATACTACCGAAAGTGGTGATGAATTTTAGCCGTCAAATTTGGAAGGGAGTGACAGCGAAAGAACGGACAAAGACATTTCAATTCTTTTATCATCACTTCCTTACATTTTAACAACTTCCTCAACATCTTCAACTTTCGAGAAACACTACAGTGGGACCATCAGGCATATTTCAAATACTGTCTGAAGAATGTTCCTCTGAAGATTCTGAAGAAGAAGAACAACAACAACTATCTCAAAAGTAAGCAAACAAAATTGATTGGAAAAAGGACTTTGATCAGAAAATTTATCCATTTTTTTGCCCAGGATAAAGCCGGTTGCCAAACTAATATCAATCGCTGAGCATCGATTTTAGATTTTTTTTTTTCTTTGGACATTATAAATTATATTGTCAAAGAAACAAATAATTTTTTTAGATTCATAAAATCGAAAGAAGAATTTTCAACAAATTCGCGATTACAGAAGTGGAGAGATCTATATGTTAGTGAGCTGATGGTTTTTTGGCTGCCACTCTATGGATGCCACATAACTTGAAAAAATCATATAGCAACTATTGGTCCATTATTACAAACACCAATTTTCGGTCAAATAATTTTGAGATATAGATATCTAATGTTACTGAGAATGCTTCATTTTTTCGACAAGAATAACCCTGGGCTAAGGAAGGAAATAGATAAAATTAGAAAAGCGTTCAGAGAACCATTTTCACCATTCAAAAATATCTGCATTGACGAAAGCCTTTTATTGCTCACTGGAAATTTATTCTTCAAATAACCATCTAAAAGGGCTAGATTTGGAATGAAAATCTAGGTTATATGTGATTGTGAAACAGGATGTGTAATCGACTTCATCGCTTACACAGGAAAGAAGTCAGACATAATAGAATATGATATTGAAAATATCGGCAAGTCGGGGGACATTGTTTTAACAATGTTAATATTTGAAAAGTGGCCATACCATATATGTGGAGATTTGATATACCAATCCAGCACTGTTTCGTTGGCTACACGATATGGCAACCAATGCTTGCGGAACAGTGAGGAAAACAGAAAAGATCTGCTGAAAATGGAAGAATATTTAAAAAAGGGACAGATTGAGTTTAGGCCCACAGAAACATTATTAGCTTTGAAGTGGTCAGACCGATGAGAAGTTTGGATGCTATCACCAGTACATAATGCGGATATCACTTCAACCAGTAAAACAAATTATAAAACCAGTGAATTGATCAAAAAATCAAAATGTGTTATTAAATAAAACAAAAATATGTGAGCAGTAGATAGAGCAGACATGATATTGAGCTGTATAGAATCTGTTAGTATAACTATGAAATGGTACAAAAACTGTTTCTTCATATTTTGGACTTGTCTATACTAAATGATCACACGTGGCACAAAATTGTGACTGAGAAAAATATGACAACGGTAAAGTTTCATTTAACTCATATAAGGCAAATTTTAGAAGTATATTGGAGTGAAAAAAAGAAATCTGGAGGAAGAAGGTCGAACATAGATTTGCCTTTATGTTTTATATTGATTTACTGATCGGAGACATTTTCCCAGTCTCATAGCTATAGATTCATGAAACCTAGATAGAATGTAGAAATTTAAAGTTTCTCTTTGTATTGATAAATACTTTGAGGATTATCATACAAAATTAAATTATTAAATAAATATTTAAACTTATTAAAAAAAAGCAAAAAAAATTATATGCGCCAGTGTCGGTCCACAGCCCAAATCTAAAAAGAGAATGGAAACAATAAAATAAAATAGTATATACAGTTCAACACTGTAGCTAGGATTCTATAGAAACTATGAAGTGGAACATCAGCTGATGGGATTCTTAACTAGGAGCTTTCAACAAGAGAGATTTAAACTGCCAAAAAGCCTCCTTTACAATACAAGTTGCTGAATAAATATTTTCATCTTTACACTGTTTTAACATGAAGAGGGAAGCAATGTTATCACCAGAGAGAATGGTGACTTTAATGCACCATCTTTAAGATTAATAAGAAAGAATTACAAGAAAGAGGAAGGGAGGAATGAGAAGGAAAAAATTTGTATAAATAGATATAAATAAAAACTGAATTTATCATATTGGAGAGTTTAGTTTCTAAAGATAAAGAAGTAATAATAATAATAATAATAAGAGGCTCAGTGAACTCGAATGTCCCATGCTGACACTACCAATCGCTTTTTACAGACATCTCTCCACCGATCGCCGTCCAAAACAAGTCCCACCAGATCAATCTTAACACAATCTTCCCACCCCCTCAGACGTTTACCAGTCGGCACAGTGCATACTAACCTTTTAGGAATTCCGTTACTAAACTCAATAATTTTGTACACCCATTTTATTTTCTGCAATGTAAGCACCTCAACTATATTAGCCTAATACAATTCACGCAATTCGGTCTTGTATAACTGTCTATACTCTCCGATTAACTCATCCTTCTTCGGTCCAAATATTCTACACAATACTTTATTTTCAAAAACCTCAAGATGTTCATCATCCCTTAATATAAGCGGCCAAGTTTCGCATCCATAAAGAACCGTAGGTAGGATAATGGTTTTATAGATTCTAATTTTTGAGTGTCAGGTCAGCAGGCGCGAGCTAAGTAATTTTGTCACAGAAAAATAACAAGCATTTTCCACCTTCAGTCTAACCTTAATTTCCTCTTTAATTTCGTTTTTTCTAGTTATTGTAGACCCTAGATACCTAAACTTCTCTATGTGTTAAAACATATTCCCTTCTGTATCGATATCAACGGAATTATCACCATTTTTCCAACTAACCATATATTTTGTCTAATCCATGTTTATTTTGAGCCCTAGTTCTTTACCAGCTTTCATTAATGTTGTATTTAATTTAATTGTTTCTGTATCTTCACTTAACAAGACCAGATAATCCACATGGCCAAGCACGGATGTTTTCTCACTCACGGATTCCACTCTTTTTATTGATTAATGTGAATATTCTATAACATACCAGAATAAGTGAGATTCATCGATAGTTAAACATAATTAATTTAACTAATAACATAAAAATAAATAATTTAACTAATAAAATTAGTTAAATATACAGATAGAGTATGCTATATTTATATCAATAAACTATACTTCATTTAAGATGGTTTAAATGGCCATAAATTGTTCATTAGAGTCCTGTCTTTTGTAAAATAATATCAAGCATTCCTTCACGGCCAAATTAATGAAACAGTAAAAAATAATTCAATTAAAAAAACTAATCCAATTATGAAAATAAACCTTTCCGTCCCAAGGAACAGAACATTCTTGCATATTTACTTAAATACATTTTTGTTTAGTAATTTGTGAAGTTGATGTCGATGAATAGAAACTTGATGTATTAGTCAATTTCCTTCTACTCCCTAACAGAACTCAAGAAAGTATAAAATAATTTATATCAAATACACTGAATTTATTTTGCATATGTTTTCACATACAGATACAGGCTTTTTGTTTGTTGACGTACACACATGTATGAGAGCTTTTAAGAAGCCATAACGTGTTGTGGAAGGCACCCAACTAAATTACTAAAACAAGTTTCAATATTTACAGATGTTAATGTCACTAAAAATTAAACAAATAATACGAAACCAAGAATAAATTGAGAATACTTAAAATACAAAAAAAAAAAAATTCTTGGTATTTTGAGCTTAGAAAATCATTAAATTTCTTCCATTGGTACAAAAAAGACATTTTATGCAATAATCGTACTATATTTTTAACTCAAATTGATGCCAAACATTCATTGAATTTTAATGAACAATTTTAAATGAAATTAAAAATTATTTTATTCTGGGAATGAAGTCACCTTACTATATATTATCTCTCACCTTCTCCTTACTATATATTTCATATATAGGTAAGTGAAAGTAAAAATAAAATGGCTCTTATAAATTAATTGTTGGTGAGCAATTGTAATTATATAACATAAAAATTCTTACAAGTTTGCGGAAGTTTTAATGTGAAGTAAGTGGTGGAACAGGAGTTGTTTGAAGTATGGAGGTAGGTAAAGAATTCCAAAAGGAAATAGCACGAATAATAAAGGATTTGCTGAAGGATGTGGTTTTATGTAGGGGAGATATATATATCTACAGGTATAGATCTGGCATTAATAGAGTGGATAGAGGAATGTAGAGTAAGGAGTTCTGGAATGTAGGAATGTAGAGTAAGGAGTGAAAAATTTATTGCATACATGCAAAGGGTCAAGCTAAATATAATACACTCCTGGTGACTTCACTGGAGTTGGGTAAGAATTGAATAAAAAGAAAAGATAATTATTCATTTTTCATTTACCTTGATTTTCACCGGTGTTTGGTTTATGGAGCGTGTTCCCCAAAGGATCATGTCCACCTGGCACGGGTATCTGTCCAAATTCCGATTGGCCTGGCTCCTGCTGCTGCTGCCCAGGGAGTGCCAGAGGCCTCACACTTTCCTGAAATTAAGTATTAATTAACTAATGGTTAGCAGCCCCATAATAATAAACTATAAATAATAAACTCGGTGTATTATACAATGATACACCGAGTTTAATCTAAATAGTTAGAGCCATTTTTGAGATTCTTGTAAAAACGTGGTTCACCGTTGATATAAAGTGGTACTTCCGGTTAGCCGATTTTAATGAAAAAGTTGCTGTCGTATCAGAACTATATAAAAACCTTAAATACACAATTTAAGTCTTGCAACGACGTCTTGCATTTTTGAGCTAGGCTGTTTACATACACACAGACCATTTTTCGGAATTTGGATATTTAAACTCAAGAGACCTCAAAACGTGTATTTCTGTTGAAAACTCAGATTCGAAAATTTTCACAATCGCAATACTTTCCCTCACATATATAACACCTATATATTACAAACAATATATATATATTACATATATACCACCTATATATTACATATATAGATAAGTTAAAGTAAAATCAAACCAAATTTTAATGTAAAATGACAAACGTTATATGAATAACTGTACACAAAAAGTTAATAATAAACTAGGTAAACTAGTGTGTTTGACAATTATATAAAATCGTTCAACAACAAGCCATTGTTTAACAACAAAATGCCTCATTATTGAAATTTTTATGATTAATTATGTTAAAAAAAGTATGCTCAAACCTGAGTAGGTCTTTTGGGCGGTTGAGCAACTTGATCATCAGGTTTTTTCTTGATAGCAACCTGCAAAAATCCCAAGAAATATTAAAATGAGGAATACTTAATTATTCAGTAATAAGAAAATATAACAAGAATTAAAGCTCAACACGGATATTATAAATTATGGCCAAAAAGATTATTAATTGAAAAATTCTTACTCCTTTGATAATAGTTGAAGGAGTTACATTGAAAACTGATAAAAAACTAATAAATAAAGTCAGAAGATAAATGGATAAATATAATCATAATTCCTTTCTATATATATATTATAATTTCCAAAATTGTAAAATACTTAACATTAAGTATACAGAATCTCATACCTCAGATTCTTTAATAGGCTTTGTTGAAGACACTTCATAATTGTTGAGTGCATCAGGATTCAATCCCGGAGTAGTCGAACCATTAATTTTTTGTCCACTATAGATTATCTAAGCATAAGACAGTTAAGTAATAACAAAAATTATATAACTAAATACTAATTTTCTTGAGATTTAATCTACCTTGGGCATGACTCCAACATTGGTATCAGGTTGTGGTTCTGCTTCTTTTTTTTGTACCAGTTTGGTATCTTCACATTCTGACAACTTCGTCTAAAAAAAACAAAAAAAAATAAAAATAAATCCAGATTAATTTCCATTTATCGTTATATTAAATTACATATAGGAAATTTAATTTTAAAACTGCAATAAAGTTTTGATACATCTTGTCAGGTTTGGTTAAGATTCAAAAAGAAGTAAAGATTTTGTAAATTTCTAATACCTAAATATACACTTATGATCAGGGAGATAATTACAAAGAGACATAATATAATAAAACTTTGCAAATATGAAGATTTCATATTATTTCAAGATTTCCTTGTTACAGAACAGTAACATAATAAACACCATTAATGCGCACATATTTTTGTAAAATAAATATCATAAAAATCTAAAAGGTCAGATGAAACACAATACTCCTACCCAACTGTCTTTGGCAGGGGCTAGTGGGGGTTAATGCTCCCTCGGGCTCCTCAGTTCAGTACACAGCACCAACAAGCAGAACAGTAAACTATTCAGTTACACTGACATAATAAGGTCAGCTATAGAACATACCCTATGGCTACCATCCCTAGGTAGCCGCTCTGGATGGAGGTGGATGACAGGAGGCGCTGATATAAGCGCTGAGGAGGGAGCCCTTCCACCTGTTTCAGGAGAATTGAGCCACTACACCCATTCTCCTTAAATTTATGTTATTAATAAAGCTAAAAGTTTAACTGAAATCCATGGAAATAGCCCCAGAAAACATCAATTGGTCTACACTATTACCTCATGGAAAATTTAAACATTATATGGACCTGGTGAACTTCAATACCTTCTTAATATTTTTGTCGACTACCATTCAGATAGAAATCAAGTGGACTGGACAGGGCAGCCTAAGGAATAAAACCACTGTATCTATTACAGCTGTTATTTCTGTTTCCATAAATTTGGACTGCTTTCTCTAAAAGTATAAGTTTATTACATTAGTTTAATAAATGGGTAAGTTCCCACCAAAGTATCAGAGGACGGAGAGAAGGATATCTTCTAAGAAACACAGGAAAAACTGCCAGTGGAAAACAGGGATGAATGCCCCAAACATGGCATGAAAATTGTACTTGGTGACTGTAATGTGCAAATTGAAAAACACACCTTACCAGCCTACAATAGGGACTCATGGCTTACATGAGATTTCAAATGATAATGGAAAAAGCCTGGTAAATATAGTAGCTTCCACAGGATTTATTGTTGGAAGCAGCTTTTTCCCTCAAAAAAAGGATTCATCTTGCCAAAACGAGGAAATTCAGAGATAATGGTAAGGTCACTACCACACAATCATGTACTTTTTAGTTCAAGGCATAGGACTTCACTAATGGATGTGAGATCGTACCAAGGAGCTAATATGGACTTAGACTACTTCCTCATCATTGTTAAAATTAGGACCAGAATCTCAACAGCAAGAAGGCAACATTCCTCACCTATATTAAGATTTGATAGGTCAAAGCTCAAAGAAGATACAGTTCGTACATTATTGATCGAATCTATTGTTGCTAAAATCATGAGTATGAACCAATATGGAATTAACACTTGATGATAGATTGAATGCATGTAAAATAGCATGTTATGGCCCAAAGAAAGACCCATAAGAAAATCTTGGTTTGATGAAGAACAATGGATCAGAAGAAGTACGTACATTAGGAGATATGTAGAGGAGTATCGAGTCATAAGAAGAAGGGATACTCACGTCCGCCGATGTAAAAAACGGCAATGGGAATGTGAAATTCTTACTGAAATGAATGCCTATAAATAGATAAATAGGAGACATTTTTGTCAGATGAGTGTTAAACATTTAAACCACAAAACCAAGCCTGCAAGAATAAAGATCTCTTTAATATCAGAGGAAGTGGCAGTAATGGATCATTATGTGGATTATGAGGAAATAATGAGTGGGGACCAACAGGAAAATCTAGATCCTTCCCCAACTTAAGAGAAATGTATACTAATGATTCCTTTGAACCTGCTGATGAAGAAGAAATAAGAGGTGGAATAGGGAAACTAAAAACCAATAAGGTGGAAGGAATTGACACTCCAACAGAGCTCTTTAAGAACAGTGGGCATGAAATGAGAAAGTTTCTGGAAGAATTTCTAATAGGCATATGGAGAGAAGGGAAAATACTTAGTGAGTGGGAAAAAAACCATAGTCTGTCACATACACAAGAAAGGTGACATTAATATCATCATAATATGATAGTAACTTTAATATATATCTTCTTTCATGCGGATAAAAAATCTCGACTTATCCTATTTAAAAGATTGATTTCTTACATGAATCGTGAATTAGGGAAATATCAATATGTCACAACAGGTTTATACCAAATCGAATGCAGTCAATTATCTACTTGACTACTGGCCAGATTTTCACGCTGCAAATTCTAAAAAAGTTAAGAAAAAGAAAGTTTCAGATCCAAACTCATCATCTGTCCGTATATTTTAAACAAGCATAAGATTCCCGGAACAGAGAAAAGGCATAAAAGACAATGCGTTACCTTCACCTCAACATTTCAAAATCACAAGATTATAGAGGCCAAACAGCCCAATAGTATTTTATGCCACCTTTTTTTATTGATTTTGTGATCAAATTATCTAACGATCCAAGTGGAAAGCAAATGAGTATTTATGAGTATTTAGTAATTAATTAAATAGATAAAGTTTGCCAATCTCCAGATTAAAAATGACCCAACTTCAAGAGTTTTCGTAAATAAAATAGTTGTAGGTTACGATGAGATGAAGCTATCCACGAAGTTTCAGAAGGATGTATAAAATACAGAATACATAAAAATCCTATCTTCCGCAATAAGGATAAAACTGACAACCATGTGCTACAGGTAATTTTTTCCTCTCTTAATTTATTTGTTATCAATTTGAAGTACTCGCTGGAGCAGATTATAGATGCATTCCCAGATTTTGAGGACAGACTAATCAAAACTACAATAATAATCTAAAAGTGCAAACAAAATTGAATCTCACCTTTAACTTTTCCATTTCTTCTTTAAGCTGGTAGTTCTCTTTATCTAAATGATCCAAATGACTATTTTTGGGCATTATATTATTTTTAAGATCTTCCTTTTCTTGCGTTAATTTATTAATATCATCTTGCTGTTGTAGGTATTCACTCTATAAAAATGAAAAAGGCAAATATGATCAATGTGAATAACAGGAATATGTACAAAAAAAGTATATAACAATATAATTAAACCTTTAATTTTTCGAAATCACCATCCTTCTTTTTAATTAATTCTTTATTTTCCTTCTTTAATGTTTCCAACTCCTTTTTTAAATCTTCAGCTTCTTCGCTCAGTTTAAAAACTTGAGTTTTTTCATTTTCTTTCAAATCATCAAGCTGGGTCTAAAATAAAGCATCAGAATAAATAATACTTATACTAACAATGCATATCAAACACATCTTTTGTTGATATTTTCAGAATCTCTCTTCAATAAACCACATCAAAATCGAAAATGAGGAAATACACTAATTGTAAATCATAAATAAAAGTAATTAAACTAATAATAAAATAAAGGGGAATAATATAGTATTTCTAGGTCAGATTATTGTAAAAAAAAAAAAATAGCAAGAAAAAAAGAAGCAAAAATAATAAAATAAAGAAATCCATTATTAGAATGTTAAGGCCAGTTAAATTATGCGAATAATTTGCTGCATAGTACAGTGAACAAATTTCAATATAATCTGTAAATAAGTAAATACAAAATATTAGTGTGTGTAATGTATACATACTTTTAGATGGCGTATACACCTTTTCTGAGAGTGTTTAAATAATTTTCATTCAAAATAATATACTGAAATGTATTTGCAAATTACAATTAGCTATATCTTTACTAAATATGGTCCAATTTCGACAAATACTTTTTCAGTTTTGGAAAATTTTCCATTTTTTATGGGTATAATTTAGTATTAGAGCAGTATCAGTATTTGAGAGAATTCAGACTTGTCAGAAACGAATCTTAATGGCTCTTCTTCTAAAAAATTTACTTGGCTCATTTATTAGAAAAGTCTTATGGTATTTGTAATTTCTTACTCTTCCAATTTAATTTATTTCAGTATTATGTTTTTCTTTTTTTACACACACAAGCAAAAAAAATTAATTAATATAATCAACCATAAATAGCATACTGTTTGAGTTATGCTTAAATAGTTTCCTTTTTTTCAGCTTTTTTTCTTGACGTTTCTAGGGGATATGCTTATTTCAAGCACCTGAAGGAGAAAATAATCTTTAAAATGATGGTTCATTGCTACATTTGATGAAGAATTTACAAAGATATGGATTACAGGCAAAAAAAAACATCTATGAGAAATAATATATAAAGATTATTGTGAATGTTAAAATGTAATTTAGACACCTGAATTCAAACCTTTCTGTGAGAAACAAACTAGCAAGTTCATGAGTAAGCACAATAGTTTCTAAAATATAACAAGTAATACTTGACAGATCAATTTAAAATCGAGCTGTGATTATAATGAATACTTAGCTAAAACCAGCAACATTCGATAAAATTAAATACAAAACTATAGTAATGTATGTAGTAGAACTTCCAAATTTATAAGATTTCAAAATGGTATCAACAAGATAATGTATAATACCCTGTATAACCCTGAATAGATGTATAATATATAATAAATTAAATCAATATCCAAAACAACTAAAACATCGTTCTAATAACAATAAATATTAAGGGGAACAGTCTTCATATATGATATTAGGTAAAAAGTCATACTTATTTCATACTAATGCAGATAAATTGAAATTTAAAACTTATAAACAAACTTTAAAAGAGATTTCTTTTATAGTGTTTAATATAAATAAAAGAAGATCTCTATGAATAAATAAAATAGACAAAATAAAATGTATTATATTATAAATGTTAAAAAACAAAACAATTTTAGTGAAATTTACAAGAGATAAGAAAGTTAATGACTTAAGAAAGTCACGTTCTGTCACTAATTTAACCTTGAATAGCTGTCATATATAAATATGTAACTGAAGACAGTTCTAAAATGATTTTTTACAAATTAATTAAATTATTTAGATGTTTTATTCATAGATAATTACAGAAACAATAGATTATCTATGAAACACATAATATAAAAGGTTAATACAATAAACTTATGTTCAAAGCCACAAACTAACAAGTGTCTAATAATCATGATTAATTATTTATTAATATCGGCAATTGTGTAAACTAAACATTACACAAATATGATAACTTTTTGATGTTGATATGACTATTGTAAATTTATTGGAAAATGGTCTTTTGTAGGTTTAATGCAAAATGGTCATGTACTTTCCTTCTGTGAAATCGGAACATTTTACTTAATGTAATTATTTTTGAAATACAATAGTGTCTGTGTCACCACGACTTGCTCTCTTTATGTATTAATTGAAAACATCAAAATTCACATTAATGTACTTAAGATATATGGATAATCTAGTTATTGATTGTTCTCAGTAAACAGACAATTTATTCAAATTAACCACTAAAAGCATTTTACAAAAAATTGTTACCTGTAAAAACTTATTCTGTTGAACTAATGCGTCATATTTGTTCTTAGATTCGAGACTTTCTTTATCTCTAACTTTTCGTTCTTCGGCTAGCTTTCCTTCAAGTGTTTCTTTTGTTAATTTATGATCCTCTTTTTCTTTTGTTAGAGACTTTTCTAGCCTTACTTTGTATTCAAATATTACTTAAATAAGAAACCATAATGTAAGAAATAAATTATTGTAAAAGAAATTGTATTAAATCTTATCTGATTAAATATACATTTATAACAATGGAGTGTTACCTTGCAGTTGTGCTGACAATGATTCTTGTTGCTGATTACAACTATTGACTAGCTTTTGCACTTCAGCTAATTTTGATTGCGTGCCATGAAAAACAAAAACAACAGCACCAAGAACACAAATTAAACAAACTATAGCGAACATCCGGGTTTTAGCACCCCTAACTAACCTAGAGGAGCTCATGACTGTTATATAATACCACTGTTTAAAAATATTAAAACTAAACAAACTGAATTAATAGAAGGTAAAAATCACTAGATAAAATTACATAAGCAGTTAATATAGTGAAAGTTGCATTAGCTCAAAGATGCCCTTGAAGAACTCATGAATCATATATTAAAATAAATACAAAACATTATTTAAACATTTCACTTCACCATTATTAAAGACATCAGTAATTGTTTCACTCCAATAACCACTTGAAAACAACAAACAGTAACAACAACACTAGGTTTTAACCTACTACAATTCGATTCTCCATATGTTATGCACTATACCAACTTGAACTAGTTGTTTTCAGTCACTAAGATTTCTCCACGTAAGCAATTGTAAAGTGTTAGCCATTTATATATTCCTTAGCAGGCCAATCCAATCCGATTTATTACATATTATTGATAATGGTTTATGACTATTTAAAAAAATTATGTTTTTGAGCGGTTTAGGTTGGCAACTTGAAGTTGTGAGATAAACACGAAAGGGAGTCCCTTACTGTTGCCTTCATTTTGTGTCCCTGAATGACATTTTATTTTATTCCCTTTTCTGACAGTTCAAAATTTAAAGTCTAAGTATCCTTATATTCAAAAACACTTAAAGTTTGTTGCTGGACGAGATATCACCGGTCTATTTTGGGTATGTATCTTTATTACTTTTAATAACGGATTCAAAATGCGTGGATATTCACTCTTTTGATCTTACTCACACGCACACACACCCTGATCACATTAAATTTTGAATCTGTTCGTTGGTTACTCTAGGAATTAAGTTAATGACGATCAAGTGTTTATGGACCAGATACCTGTTGTCCATTTCCATATATATATAAATATATTGAATATGATAAACTATAGTTAGTTTTTAAATTTTACTACCCCAAGTTTTGTTATTTCTTGAAAAATTAAAATAAAGCTAGTTAATACTCATTATTTTTTTTAATTTGTTAAATCATTTTATTCATTCTCATTCATGTAAATGAGCCCTTAAATTTTGGATGTCATTTTGATTAATTTTAATCAGTTTACTTAATTAAAATCCAATAATTTTTTCTTATAGATCTATAGTGTCCTATTAAGAATGTTAGCTGTTATTTTTTTAACTTATTTAAGTAAAATTATGTTTTAAGATTAATCTTTATTAGATATTGCATTTATTCCTAACCTGTCATAAAGCACTACAATGGTAGTTTCTGTTTGTAATTTTAAACTTCTATCCTTTATATTAAGATTTAATTGTAATATGTGTCTAAGATTGAATGCTTTTTGTTATTGAGATATGTTTTTACTATTAGTTATCTATTCTTTTCTTTTACACATATACTAATTTAACAGAAAAAAATTACTTTTTTGAAAAATATTTTTTTTTGTGGCTTTGCTTTATTGTTTTATAGATATATTAAAGTTTATATTTTATTCTAGATGTATGATTGTCTTCAAATCAGTTAATATCACTTTTGAGATTTTAGTTATATTTGGTGACGATGACAATTCATTCACATTTTAATGATTTTCATTATATTATTGTTTTATATCTGTCAAAAAGTATTTTGTCAATTTAATTGAGGATCTTGTTCATTTAATTATGTTGTTATTAAATGAGTCATAATTAAAAACTATATTTTAATTTTTAAAATAATTTGATTTTCTCCTATTTAAACTGTATTCTTACGAACATGTTTTATTTTAATGTTCTACTATATTTGTGTTTATATATTATATGAGTCACCTCAACATTACTCTTAAGATATTTCAAGAAACAGTTTTCAATGATATGAAATTTCTATTTAATATTTTTTATGTAAAAATTTTTTAATGTTTGTTAATACTGGACTAAATTAACATTAACAAGTAAATATTTTATTTTAACCTTTTATAAATACGACTATGTATATATCTTGAAATAAAATTCATATAAACATTTCACAATTTTTCTTTACATTTGTTAAAATATAAATTTTTATATTTATATCATGTCTTACGTTAAACTGGAGATGGTCTAAAAATGCTAAATACTGTACAGTAAGCTATAATTTATCGAATCAACTATAATGCTAAATCATATGGGTCTGAATGATTTGACATTAGGTTGTTATATTATGACTGTTAGAATAAGAAAAAGGTTTACTGTTTCTAAAATATTTATTTTATTGACCGAGTATTATGATAATATTCGATGATAGTTTCCTCATGCTGTTCTATTCTAATCATTGTCAGTTCTTTAAGAGTTAGTTTAATACAAAATTTCATACATATCATTTCCTTTTGAATGATTATTATATTTAAATCTCTCCAGTATAATTATTTTTTGGATAAGTTAGAATTAATAAGGAATTATAAAAATCAGCAGTTCACAATTTGTTAATATGGTATCATCTTGTTCGGCATAATTACTTTTGTGTTTACTAGGATGTAAACGTATATTTATTTATTTTGTGCCTTAAGTGTTTACATTTAAATGTTTAAGAAATTGTGCTAAGGTTAGGTTGTTTACATTCCAAGTTTTTATTGTTTTTATGCGAAATGTAACACTAATCAGCCTTGAGAAACTATATAATTAACATAAATAGCAATTTTTTTACTTAATAAATTTCGTCTAAGTCAATCATTGTCAAAATAAAAACTTAAATTAGTAAGAGGTCCTGATCTTGATGGCAGAGACCCCTTCATTTGAAGTTACGAAACCCGCAATACACCCAGCCTTAACTGTTGTGTCTATCAGATCCCTTGTATGTGCTCTCTGCTACAGGCTTCTAAATATCCTTTCTTCAATCAATTTTCCTTATTTAAGATACTATTTGAAATTATTTTTTTTTTTTAGTATATCTTAATGAATAATAAGCATTTTCATTTCATTTCTGTCCATTCTGATCATTCAACTACTGTTTACTTTATTTCCCCATATTTTTAGAATTGTTATTTCATTTATACTGTAGACAAAATGGATTCATCATATAAAATAGATCGATTTCTCTAGAAATCAAGATTCGTTTTATCCAATGAGTTATCAAGGCCGATTCACTCCTAAACTTTGAACGGAGATTCCCGATGGCGTTCGGCACCCGGGTGACGTCAGATTCAGACCGTTACTACCCCACCAAGTCTTTGTTAATTTATTTTCTGTTTTAATACCTTTTTAGTTTTTATTATTAGCGAAAGTATTAATATAATGGTTTTTAAGAATAAATTGAGTATCACGTGCTGGCTATATCGTCATTTAATTGCCTCTATTCCTTAGGTCTTTGTTAAGTAACAATGGTTTTATTTCTTGCCATAAAACAGTATTCATTTCAATAATATATATATTTCTATCATAAAATAAAACTTTTGCCATTTCTAGAGATAGATGGCCATAGTGTTTAGAGAATTGATGTGATGGACGCACAATCACATCCGGAATGCTAAACTGCACGTCCTTCTCTTCATTTAACTCAAATCCTTCTGATATCGCCATATAGAATGTTAGCCAAAGCTCATAGATATTATCTAATATAGATATTTTAATTCCATAATATTGCGATATCAAAAATTTTTTTTTTCGCTAAAATAGCTTTTCTTAATTTTATAGCCAAACTAATGTTAAAATTAAAATTTTATCTTAATAGCTGTTTTTATTTATAGAATTAAAGTAAACTTTGGTTAGTCTAGCCTTCTGGTAGATATTTTAAATACCCCAATAAATTCCGAAATAAAATAAACCATATTTTTAAATTGGCTTGAAGATGATGTAACGCCCAAAACGTTTCCATGAAAATATAAATCGTGCAAAGAGTTGTTGGAAAAAAACAGCCCAGATAATTTTAATAATTTAGTGCGGTTAATCAAGTAAATTCATAATGAGAAAATTACCATTAAAACTACAAATATATTATTACTTCTTTTCAGTAGTTATCATTTAAATAAAAACATATGTATACATATACATTATATATATATATATATATATATATATATATATATATATATATATATATATTTATTTATTTATAAATATGTTTATATTTATGCAACACTTATTAAATATATATATATATATATATATATATATATATATATATATTTATTTATTTATTTATAAATATGTTTATATTTATGCAACACTTATTAAATAGGGCCGGGGCGGACCGTCCACTCCTCCCCTTGAATATATGTTAGATATATTTCTTAAAATTTCTATATTATTGAAATTTTTTTCTATGTACTTACTTGTTGTATTCATTTCTGTATTAATATTCGATTTTGTATCGACATTTCACTCGTTAAAGTCAATTAAAGTAGTAAATAACAAATATTGATGTGTAACTTTAACTTTTAATTTTCATTTAATTATTTTGATGAACCATTGTATTATTTTATTACTATAATTTTTATATCTTCCGTAGCGTGCTTTTGTATATAATATCATATCGATATTTTGCCCTTGACATCCCACCTCTGCGGAGAATGGATTCTATTAACAAACGGAGAATCCTACTCCTTTTAAAGTATCATAAGTCTAAGCCGAATAACTTACAGGATTCTTCTTATTTTTTTTCAAAAATAAAATATTGTATATCGTAGTTAGTCCGTAGAAAAATTAGTCTGTTGGAAAATTTCTATGTGATTGAACTTCGGAGTGGTTGAAGCTTCACGACGATGATAAAAATAAGAGAATTGTGGAAGTCTCGAATTCGACTCATCTTCAAAATCTAATACTAACATTAGATGTTATAAATGTATGTAAAACATTGTTTAGTAATTTATTAAGCTGAAGAGGTTGTTGTAATGCGGTAATTTCAGCAACTGTTTGTTGTCAAATTACTGTCAGCAAACATAGCGTTACACAGAGGAAACTTTTAAGCTTTATAAAATCACGCGGATACCCATAGGAAGAAATCAGAAACCAGAAACGTTTACCAATCTGGAATATTTTAGAAAAGATATAGTTTTGGATTCGACTTGAGTGAAGATCGTTTTTTTCCACTGATTTTTACA